CCCCTTCGCACCCCCGGAAGCTGACTCGCCCCCCGCCCCCCCCCCAAAAAGAAAGCAGACGACAACAGCAACAGTTTCACACCCAACCCCAAAGCTGACTCGCCTCCATTCCCCCTTCGCGCCCCCGGAAGCTGACTCGCCCCCCGCCCCCCCAAAAAAAAAAGCAGACGACAACAGCAACAGTTTCACACCCAACCCCAAAGCTGACTCGCCTTCTTTTCGCCACGGCGAAACAAAACAGGTCGTCTCTCTTGCACAGGCTCACGAATTTGCGAACCGAAGTGGCCACCGGTCGGACGTGCCGCGGGTGAAAAAAACGCCTGTTCGGCGTTTGGCGCCTGCCCGGCACTGCGCCTGCTCGGCACTCCTGCGCGCCTCCTATGCGCGTGCTTGGCTCCCACGGCGCCAGACCAGAATCGCGCTTCTTCGCCACGCGCGACAGCCTGATAAAAAAACTTCGGGGCTTGGGGGGTACATGCCAAGCAAGCAATGCCAACAACATGCAAAATCCATGCAAAATCATGCCAAGCACAATCAAGCAAAATGCCAACAACATGCAAAATCATGCCACGCCATGCAAAAATCGTGTAAAAAACTATTCTCCCCGCCCGTAACTGCACACACAGCCCTGGCAGAATGTGAGTCGCCAGGCAAAACCGTGCAAAACAAGCTATTCTCCCCGTCCGTAACTTGCGCAGATGCCCCGGAGAATATGGGCGGCCCGCGGCCAGACAAAAAAAAAGAATGGCAAGTTGGGCAAGACAACGAGATCACGGAGGCCGCGGACGCTTCTTTGCAGAGCACTCTTTTTTGCAGAGCACGCTTCTGCTTCTTTGCAGAGCACACTTCTTTGCAGAGCACGCTTCTTTGCAGAGCACGCTTCTTTGCAGAGCACGCTTCTTTGCAGAGCACTCTTCTTTGCAGAGCACGCTTCTTTGCAGAGCACGCTTCTTTGCAGAGCACTCTTCTTTGCAGAGCACACTTCTTTGCAAGCCACACTTCTTCGCAGGAAGCACTCTTCTTTGGCTGAGGCACTCTTCTTTGCAGAGCACGCTTCTTTGCATAGCACACTTCTTTGCAGAGCACGCTTCTTTGCAGAGCACGCTTCTTTGCAAAGCACACTTCTTTGCAGAGCACGCTTCTTTGCAGAGCACACTTGCGCTTCTTTGCAGAGCACACTTCTTTGCAGAGCACACTTCTTTGCAGACCAGGCTTCTGGGATATGGACAAACATCAAGGACGACGTCTGTTTTAATGTCCATAAGGTGGACATTAAATCTCTCTCTTTAGAGGGGGTTTCCCAAATGGATTCTATTCTACCTGACAGGCTCCTAGCACTTGTCCGTCCAGGAAACGACCTTGTTCTGCGAAGGATTCGAAACCTAAAACGCTGCGTGCAGGCGTGTGGCTGCAACATAACGACCCCGAGATATGCGCCGCAATTTGGCTCCAGGTTGCATTTCAAGCGAGGTCAACCTTTGCCAAAGGAAACCCCTTTTCCCTTTTTTTCGGGACCCCTTTTTTGGGGACCCCTTTTTTCTTTTTTTTTTTCTTAGCCCTGCAAAGGTTGGCTCGCTTGAAATGCAACCTGGAGCCAAATTGCAAGCGTATCTCGGGGTCGTTATGTTGCAGCCACACGCCTGCACGCAGCGTTTTAGGTTTCAAATCCTTCGCAGGACGAGGTCGTTTCCTGGACGGACGAGTGCTAGGAGCCTGTCAGGTAGAATAGAATCCATTTGGGAAACCCCCTCTAAAGAGAAAGCTTCAGGGTTTGCAAATGGGCTTCAGCAAAGCACCACCGTGGTGTGCAGGGCTCTGCGCACACATACCAAGCTAAGCTTGGATCCGCTTCGCAAAGCAAGGTCCAAGATTTCGTTTCTCCTGCTGACGCCGGAAACGCCAAGCGCCAATGCTTTTCTTAAAGCCATCATACGTTGGTTTGGCATGTTGTCTCGTCCAACAATTGGTCCAGTTTGACGGCACCGCCGCCACAATTCCCGAAGGGCTGCTGAACGAGGACAGGACAGGTGTTTTCTTTCTCTAGTCTTGCCTGTCTGATGCTTTCAAGTTTTCAAGGAGGATGGAGCAGGTACACCGCGTGCCCTGAATGTGTTTGCCTCTCGTTGTCGTCGCTGGAGAGAGTGAGTCTGAGTGTTTTGTGAGTGAGTGAGTGAGTGAGTTAGTGAGTGAGTGAGTGGGTGGGTGGGTGAGTGAGTGAGTGAGCGAGCGAGCGAGCGAGTGAGTGAGTGAGTGAAAGTGTGTCAGTGTGTGGCGAATGAGCGTGAGTGAATGAGGGGGACAGTGAGTGAGGAATAGGACCTAGTTGTTCATAGGGGGTACTTGGTTTGCCGACGTGGACCACTTGGTGGGTTTGATCTCACACCCTTTTCCCAACGATACCTACTTCACCTTCCCCCACTTTTGACCTGGTCAGCCTCCTCAGCTATCCTGAGTTGTGTTAATGTTGGATTCTCTTTGATGTAACCCCCGCCGAACAGTGGAACCAGTCGGCGGGACTCTTTTTAGTGAGATCCTGGGTGTCCGGGAAAGGCCTTACTTTAGTATTGCCAATTCTACTTTAGTATTGCCAAGGGTCGTTTTTTCAGCAACCCCCAAAACCAGTTGGACACTAAAGAGGACCCCAAAACAGTCGCATTAAAGAGGATCTGTTTGCTCGAACTTTTTTTGTAAAGAAATTATCTTAAATTTGATGGTTGGGGAACAACTTGCAAAATCGATTTCCTAGATCTCAGGCCTTTAACCTTTGAGCTGGGGAGAGCTTAGGATGAGTCTCCGCTTTTAGTAAAAGGCTGAGGCTTTGGTTTTCAGTTTTCAGCAACCCCGAAACCAGCTGGACACTAAAGAGGACCCCAAAACAATCGCATTAAAGAGGATCTGGGCCTCTTGTGGGCACCCCCCTTTGTGCCCGCACTTTTTTTTTGGTAAAGAAATCATCTTAAATTTGATGGTTTGGGGACTACTTCAAGAAAAGGATTTCCCAATGTTTGCCAGGATTTGGTTGCCCGTTTTTTAGCCCGACTTGTCTGCCAAGTTTTTGCCCATATTTTCCCAGCGTTGTTTCCGGCAAAAAAACTTTCCACAATAGACAGTCAAACGATTCTGAATTCGAAATTTGTTTCCACAATAGGGAGTACTATTAATAAAGGAGGTCCAACATTACTGGGTACTACGTCCTGCATTTTGTGATCATTGTTCAGGTCTGTTTCCCGGAGTTTTCAAGTTCTACCCCAAACCACAGATATGACAGGCATACAGAACATGCGAAAGTGCACGTTCGGAAGGCTGAACACTACGCAGTTTCACCAAAAGCTCCAGGCCATTCCGAATCCAAAAGCAGTGCGATTCCGCCGGAAAACCTGTTCTAGATCAAATTCGCTGACCATCGACAAACTCGACAAACCGTTGCAGGTTTTTGTGCAATCGATTCTGGCATGTTGAAACGCTGCTGTTCTTCAGCAGACTTGGAAAGTCAAATTGAATCAGCCTTGGCAAATTGGCCGTGAAAATGAAAGCTGCCACCGATGAACTTGCGTTGCTCTCCGCGCAGGGCTCTTTCCAGCCAATCTTGTCAGCAGGCTGGCACACAGGTGCAAGCACGTGTTACATGCAACAGTTCTGTTCCTATCGCGCAAGTCGCAGCACGCTGTGTGATGCTTGAACATACACGCAGAAGTGTTTTGCCAATTTTTGCAAACTACACGCAGATCACTCACAGATATCTCCAGCCATTTCCGGCTCGGCACGCTTTGCGTCGGGGCCCAACAAGTTTCTCGTGTTGATCTGCATGCCACGGCATTTCTTGTTCGAGCGGTGTTTCGGAACGTCGCTGCACCACCATCTTCCCAATGCTGATAGGATAGCTGGCGAGCGGCTGGCCGCATTTTTCTTTGAGCTAAGTGCTTGTTGTTCAATGCAGGGTTAGAGCTTGGAGTTCCATGGGGTTCGGTTTTTAGGCCATGGATCTCGCGAACTCCATCTTTGCCGTGGTGGGGGCTTGGCTTCTGGGCTACAGGACGGGCTTGGGAAAGGCTTGGGAGCAGTGCCCAAGGGAACCCCTTTCAAAACCTGTGCTCATATTTAGTTCTTTTCACTTCATGGTTGATTTTTCCGCCGCGAGTCTGTGAATTAGCCCGGAATCGTGCTGTGAGGCTGGCATGCCAGAATTTCCGTGTCGCATACATTTGTCACTTCCAGTCATTCCATTTACTTGCATAGTACAACAACCAAGGGGGAGCCACCTTTTAGCAGCCACAAAGGACGCTGGTAACCTCCAAAAGACGGTCTCCGGAATTGGCATCCAGGCTACTGCTCAACACGCCCTGTCGCGCTGCGGTGGAGGCCAGCGTCTGCTTGTTTGATGGTGTTGAGTTGCCTGAAGGGACTGGTTGAGCCTCTGCAATTCCTGGGCAATTCCTCGTCTCTCTTAGCGCCCTTTGGGCAGCCAATCTGGAGTCGGAAAAAGGATGCCCAAAATACCAATTACCAACTTAATCCTGCGCAAATCATGGAACCGTCGTGGACCAGCAAAAAAGAAAAGGGTCCTAGAGGCTCACGGCTGTGCTAAGGTCTTTTTTTTTTGGCTTCTTCTGGCTTGTCTGAAACCGGGAGGCTGTTTTGCACCCATCCTCTCGAGGGTCGGTTTCTGCTCCAAACTTGCCGCCAAGCGTTCTAGGCTGCCCCTCAAAGCCCCTTCCAACTGGTAAAACCTTGTTTGGACCAATTTGGCAATTGTTCCGGGTCAACAAGGCTTGTTCAAACACCTGGACGCGCTGAGTTCATGGCACCGGGGGTGGGATGGAGGTGATTACTACGTTGGTGAGCCGGGCGCCTCAAGTGGGACTTGGCCGCTTCATGGACCAGCACAAGGGGGCCGCGGGCCGCTATCCCATCATGGCCAGGGGATACGCCCTTTCAGGAGGCCTCCCCGGCCCTTCTGACAAGTTAGCAGCCGTGTTTTTGAGAAAGCTGCAGTCGCCTCCAGCAGAATGAAATCGGTTTTGCCCGCAGAGGAGCATGATTGCAGCTGTTTGACATTCAATGCAGAATGAGAAAGCAGCGGACTTGGCTTGAGAACAAAGTATGTGAGTTCTTTGCTTGAGTAGGACCGTGCATTTCTTGATCTTCGGGAGTTGCTTTCAATCCTGGCATTTCGAGACGTCTTTACACGCAACCCCCTCAAAATGTGAAGCGCATTGCGCAAAACGTGCAGTTCTGCCAGAGATGGATGAGTCACTTGAACTGGACACATGGAACCGTTGGGTTGGGTCCAACAGGTTTTGATGGTGTACCCTCCCTTGGTTTCCATTCCATGTTTATCACAAGTCCCCCAACTCCAGGCAGCTATACAATTTTTATTTTCGGGCTCGGTCCTCGAGAAAGCTTAGGCGGCGCCTCGCTGGCGCTCTTGGCGCCCTTCCTGCCCTGGCCCCCGCCCCCGGGCAGTGCGCGGGCCTTGGAGACGCGACCCGTGCAGGTCGCTCTGTGCCGCTTCGGTTGAAAGCTCTCGCGCTGGTGGAGTTTTTTTTCCTTCTGGGTGATGGTGATGCTGATGCTGCGCTGCTTTGCTGGCTTAAAGGTGTTGGTGCAGGTGGTTTTTACTCAGGTGATTGTAGGGGGTGCTGTAGGGCTACCAGTGCAGATGCACTTTCAGAAGCTATTTTCGGATGTTGACAATAGCTGTTCTGCGTGCAGGTCGCTCTGTGCTGGCAAATCTTTGGTGCAAGGGCAAGTGTGTGTTTTCTTCCTCGGGTACCAGGGCGCTGCATGTGCTGGGGACTTGAACATGCCGGGAGGGTCCTGTTTGGAGTGATGCCTTCCTTCTTGATGTTCCGACTTGAAATGCCGCGTGCTTTCAGTGCGGAGCCTTTGTCTGAGTTGTTTCTTTTGAAGCGGCACTTTTGCCTTAGGTGGTGACCTTGGCGGTGATTGGGATGCTGCTTAGCGGCGGTCGGGGCCCCAAAGGGGTGCCTTTGAGGCAAGCTTGGGCAATGTTGGAGTGATTTTTGGAAGGTACCTTTTTTGGGGGTGGTGGTGAAGGGAAACCAAAGAGACCCAACATTTTTGGTGGGTCGCCGAATTTTGGACGCGTGCATTTAAGAAGCTGGGACAAGGTGTTGAACTGCGTTGGTTGGGCGGTACCAGAGCGTGGTATTTCGAGAACCCGAACCTTGGGCAGGCTTGGCTTATCGATATGGTACATGTCGCCACGCCTGAAAGTCAACGGCTTCGGCTGAAGCATGGAGAGCGCCTGATATCTCTGGCGCAAACCTGGACACATGCGGGTAGGAGTGAAAAATAAACCACCAGGGGACCACAGGTTTTAGTCCTTGGTTCGATTTACCAGGGTTCCATTTTGGGTACCTATTTTTGACCCACAGCCATATGGACACAGGGAACCTGATCTCCGTTGGAGCGGTCGATTCGTCCGACGGCTCCGTCTGAGGCACGCCGTGCGGCTCCCTCTTCGCAGCCTTGCTGCTCTCCTTGAGTCTAGGCAGCTCCAACGACCGAGAGTGTTGGGGAAATGGGCCTCGAGTCCTTCCGGCTATGCCGCGTCTTTTTGGCAGTCTCATACGTTTTTCCTTTTACCCACCAAGGAAGCAATGGACAATCTGTCAACATTCGGGCCAGATGCGTCCCCCCCTCTTGATACATTGATTCCGTGGAACATTTGGTCGGGCCCCTGCCAATCACTGAGCGACAGAAGACCCCGCAGCCGGCCGGCGTCTTGAGGTTTGCTGAGACATGCAAAAGTGGGGATCCCAAACTACCTCAGTTTGAAGCTGGCATGCAGCCGAGGCAGGCTATTTTGCACCCTAGGCTCCCTCTAACGCATGCTTCCCCGTTTGTAAAACCTGCTGCAAACGGTTTGTCGAATTGGCTGAAAGACCCGCGTGCATGTGTTCCAAAAGTCTTTATAGTTTCTGGTTTTCCTCCTCATAGACGCACAGACGCGGTTCTTACAAAAAGGGGGTTGTGACCAAGTAGTCTGCCTTCTTAAGTCTTTATGGGCCACCTTGGGCTTCCGGACACCTCGCACATTCAAGTCTTCAAGTCTTCAAGTCTTCATGGGTATGAAACTCAGGTGGCCCCTCCCCCTTCCCCTGAATCATGGCGGTTTTTCCCGTTGGTTTCCCTTTCCCCGTTTCACGTCAACCAGCCCGCTGGAGGAAAAGGTCGCACTCCTCATGCTGCAGGCGTGGGCCTGGGCGGCTACGCCTGGCAGCTGGGCGCCTGCCGTGCCGAGGAGCACCTGGAGGCTCGCGCCCATTGACCGACCCCAACTAGGTGGGTGGGCGCCAAGAAGGGCCATTTTTGCCCACGTAGCATGGATTCTATTCCAACGGGACCTTGCCCAGAGATCTGAAGTTGCGACCGGCGCAACTTCCAGACCACATGGGACATGGATACCCCACATCGGTTGCTTTTTTTTTGTGTGTCCCCCTGTGTGCCGCTCATTTATTAGGACGTCCTAAGCTGTCCCTGATTTTGTCTGATGTTTGCTCCCCAACAAACATGGAAGGGCACAGACCCTCCTTTTCAACAGGACAGAAGTCTTCCAAACGGGGCCCTCAACAACCAGGGGCACCTTCTTTTGCGGATGTGGTTCAGAAGCAAGAGCAACCCCAGCATTGCTGATGCCCGTGGATGTTTGGGAGGCAAACACTTCTGAAGAACCCATGTCATGGTATCCCGCGGGAAGATCTACTATTCCGCAAGTTTATTTGTGCCATGGTGAATCGCCCTGCTTTGGGCTTCTGGTCTTTTGAGAGCATGCCGCAGAGAGCAGGTTTGTTTGGACGCCCGGGCGACGAGTCGGGCGTGGCAGGTTCCAGACCTCCACGGCATCTTTCTGACGCTCACTAGCCTGAGTTTCGTCATTGTGCGCTTCTCAGTGCACGTGCGCATCCATCTGCGTGCAGGGGGGCACATCCCTACACGATGTCGCCCTGCGTCATCTTCCATTGTCAGCTTGTCAGCATCAGGACCCTTTTGTTTGGCGCATTTGAACCAACCTTGGTCAATTTGTGTATCTGTTGCCTTTGTGGTGTGATGCTGGAAGGAGTCTATATGAAAAAGCAAAGCCGTTGGGTTTGAGCTGAACAGCAGCAACCGAATTGGCGGTTTCTGGTGGCACTGCGATGTCCGAGGTCTTCGTGTGCACCCCAGGAGTCGCCGGGCCAAGCACCATGAAGGCCGGTGACAACGGGAGAACCGAAGATGCGGTGTGAAGGAGGTTTGCGGTTGAATCCCCAGAGCCACGTGCTCAAAATTCGGGGATCGATGAAGGTTCGGGACAATCCCAGCCAGAAACAGCTGCGGATGTCCGCCTTTGTATTTCCTGAAGCATGGTTCTGGGTCAACCATTTTGATACCGGGTTTTGAGTGTGACTCAGGTGCCGCCTTCTGGGTGGGGGGGGGGGGGAGGGAGGTGTGGTGGGATGCTTCCTCTGTGCAGGTAGTGCTGGCGCCGTGTCTGGGCGTGTGGACCCTAATGGGTAGCCAGCGGAGTGTGGGGGTTTCTTGTATGTTGGAATCCCCAAATGTAAAAATAGGAATCCAAGAAAGCCAGTCGCCGTGATATTTCATGGAGAGGGCAACCCGTCACTCTGAACAGCCGCCGATGGCAAAAGGACTTTGGCCACGTGTTGACTCCACCACCTGCCTCCTTTCCAACGTTCGGGTCATGTGGATTCAACCAAGACCTCCCCATGTGTCGTAATTCGTACAGCTTATTCCAGCAAACATTGCATGCAGGGAACACGCGAAGCTCCACTTTTTTTCATGATTTGTGGCTGGGTTCAGCATGGGCGTCCAGCGTATTCTGGCGCAGCCCTTTCAGACGGACATGGATTCCAACTCGTTTGCACGGCGCCACGTTTTGCCCTGAGGCGCTGCTCTTCACTTCGGGCCTCGCGGCCTTGGTGGGACTCCCGGACGCGAAGGTATTACTATGTCGGATGGAGCATGACCTGAAATGACTACATGGGCTGTACAAGGAGATCCTTTTGTTGAATTAACCACTTCAGTCTGTGAATTCTAATGATAAATACAATCCATATGTACTTGATGTCCATCAAATGTTGCCAAATTCATACACATTCATATCTGCCATGGTCAAAGACCCGATTTAAGACAAGCAGGGCAAGGATTCCGATGACCATGACCCTGACCATGACCCACGGACATGTTTTTGGACCATGGCATATGGAATGCCCATGTCTCTACTGCTATTGGGTTGGATCTTTAGACTTTAACTTTTTTGATTCCCCTCATGTTTCCTATTAACTCGAACATGAAGATGCGGGAGCAAAAAGTTAAGGGAGCAAGTTAAGCTTTTTGCTGGGGGATCTACAGCACCCAAGATGTTTGCCTTCTTCGCGTGAGCGCCATTGAGGTGCCGAAGCCCTTCGCCCTCACGGCCGTCGAGCTCTTGGCCGAGGTGCCGGCGAGCGGGAAGCTGTAAGGGCTAGTTTTTTTTTTCCTTCTCCGGGGAGGTGACAGGGGGATAGGCAGCAAACAAAGCTTATGAGGGATCAACCCAAAACTTATTAGGGATCAAAAACAACTTATTTGGGATCAAACAAAAACTTCTTCTCATTCCTATGGGGAGAAGGAAGGAAGGAAAGAGAGAAGGAAAAGGAAGGAAGGAAGGAAGGAAGGAAGGAAGGAAGGAAGGAAGGAAGGAAGGAAGGAAGGAAGGCAGGCAGGCAGGGAGGGAGGGAGGGAGGAAGGAAGGAAGGAAGGAAGGAAGCGCCCCCACCCAACACCCCGCTGATTTGTAGAATGTCTACAGCGATTAACGCACCCTTTGCTGAATCATCACTTCTTCGATCATCATCACCCTTTGTTGAATCATCACTTCTTCGAGCATCATGGGGGGGCATGGGGGGCTGCCCCCCCCAACCCCCCCGATTTTCATACTGTTTACAGAGATTACCGCACCCTTTGCTGAATCATCACTTCTTCGATCATCATCGCCCTTTGTTGAATCATCACTTCTTCGAACATCATGGGACAGGGTTGCCGCCCCCAGCAACCCCCCTGCTGTTTTTCAGAATGTTTACAGAGCTTAACGCGCCCTTAGTTGAATCATCACTTCTTCGAACATCATCTCCTTTTGTTGAAACATCACTTCTTGGAATATTGGGCTAAAGCGTTAACCGCAGGTGGTCGCTTGTCTTGACTCTTCATAAGTGTCCACTTGGGCCACCATTTTGGCTCAAGTGGACTCTGACCTTCTGTCTTGTAATCTGAAATCTTTCTTTCCCCTCCTATCAAAGCCATGTACGCCCCCGCCTACGCTGGTGCCGCGGTTGCAGAGGCCAAGGCGAAGGCAAAGGCCTCCATGGCGAAGTACCTGGCAAGCCTCGTGAAGAAGGAGGAAGAAGGATGGACCGTCTTGGCTGCTGAGGTCCCTCAGGCACCTGACGAGCGGTTCTTCTCCAGCGCCGATGAGCTGGAGCAGGCCCCACTCATCCCAGCCAAGCGCAAGGCAGAGGACGAGCTGATGGCAGACTCAGCCCCTGGGGTGGCGCAGGTGCCGAAGGCCCTGACACGCCCCCCAGGGGCGTTCCTGGAGCTCCTAAACCCGCCGGAGAAGGATGTTCCCATGCAAAAACTCCTGGCGGAAGACGAGGAGGAACTCCCGATGTCCGACACCAAGTGGCAGAGACGCCGTGATCTGATGGCGAAGGTCAGGGAGCAGGCGTCCTCGGAGGAGGATGAGGACCCCGCAGCCCCCCCGCCGGGGGGAAGCGTCTTCACCAAGGCCCTCAAAGTCTCTGAGGGCCTTTACCAATTCAGCGAGGACCAGATGGCGGGCGACTTCCCGTGTTTTGATGCGACCACGGCCACTAGGCTCCGCCGACTGCAGGCAAGGACGTCCAGCGGCTCCTGAGAGGCTTTGAGGGCCCCCAACTCAAGCAGGGGGGCCTGGAGCGTGTGGTGGAGGCGTTCTACATCGCCAAGATGAAGTATGAGCATGAGGCCCGGCTCAGCACCCCGGGACAGCAGGTCGGCAAGCGCGCTGGCCTGGGGTATGGGGGCCTGGAGAACCGCCCCCTGGGTAAGGAGCCCACATCCTGGATCTGCCCCTGCTGCACCATGCCCTGGGTGAAGAAGGGCGCCAGGAAGTGTATGGGGTGCGGCAAGAAGACGGAGCCCATTGACATGGCGACCAACTCGGCCACCCTGGAGATGGCGGGCACGCACTGGCAGTTGACGGTGGATGACCAGGGCAATGCGGTCTGGACGGCGGCCCGGTCCGCAGGTGCCGATGGCCCTGATACGGACCGGGCCCGCGACCTCAAGCTCAGCGCCTCGGTGGATGTCAGCGAGCTGGCCACCGACCCGATGGCATGCGAGAACCCGGACCAGGCCAGCTTCTCGGACTTTGTCCCCTCCTCGGTCCGGGCGGTGATCAGGAACTGCCCCATGGAGCTGGACGAGGATTTCCTGACGGCCCCAATGGGGGAGAGGCCTCCATTGCCGGGCGACAAGGAAGAGGGCCAGGAATGCAGGGCCTAATTCGTCGGTGAAGGCTTTCAAAATCCAGACCCGGCTCAACGCCACCACCATTGCCCAGGAGGAGGCCAAGAAGGCAGACCAGGTGGCAGCGGTGGAGCGATCCGCGGCGGTCCTCCACGAGCTTCAAGGAGGGGCCATTGATGGAGGAGGCGATGGGGGCCTACTCCTCAAGAATTTGGACTTGGACCTTTTCCGCGAAAAACTGCTGGATAAGCTGGGCGCGGACTGGGGGAGGCCCACACCGGAGCTCCTCCAGGCCCAGACCACTGCGGAGGAGGCGAAGGCAAAGCGCCAGGCCAGACAAGCGAAGGGCCCCCACGAGACCAGAATGGGGCCCCCTCGGAGAACCGGGTCCCTGAATTGACCAAACAGTAGACAGGTACATTATGGCGATGGCCAGGTTCAACCTGGCCTGCAGTGCGCGCTTCAACGACGTGCAGCACACCTCGCCGCAGACGGTCAGGTCCACGAGCAACACCCTGGAGCTGCTAGCCTGGCAGACAAAGACCACGTCGGCAGTGGCCATCAAACGGAACCCGGTCCCGCTCATCGCCCCATTATTCTCTTCTCGGGGGCCAGATGGTGGATCCCCTTGGAGAGGTGGTGGAAGAGATTCAGGGCCTCGGAGGAGTTTCGCGAGATGGACTACCTGATCCCCACGATCAACAAGGACAGGACGGGTTTCATCCCCCGCCCAGGCACCCCAGACAGGTCCCTGAGGTGGCTCAAAGACGCCTTGGGGAAGCAGGGCGCGCCAGCCAAGGATGTGGCTGAACTTTCGTGGTACTCCTTCCGGGTCTTCATGCCGGATTGTGCATTCCAGGCGCACATACCGAGGGACCAACGCCAGTACCTGGGAAACTGGTTCAAGGAGTCCACGGCGGATGTCTACACCCGGGAGAAGCGACACGTGGTGTGCTCCATCTGGGACCAGGTTCTCCAGAAGCTCCCGTCCATGCAACTCGAGGCAGGAAGGGCGGTCCGAGTCGACCTCGGACATGAGGACTGGGAGGACAAGGTGGAGTGCCCTGCCTCACCGAAGGCCTTGTTCAAGGAAGTCCCGGACACACCGCCCTCAAATGCCAGCTGGGATGTGATCCCCGCCGACAAGCCGGCCATCACCAAGGTGGCTGCAGATGAGGTGCCCCCGCCTCGGGGTCCACTGACGGTGATTGCCACCACGGCCCGAAAGGGTCCCACCAAAGCCTACAGCATGCACCTACTGGACACGGATGGAGTCACAGTGGGGTGCGGCTGGAGGCCGGGGCCGCTCAAGATTTCGGAGCTGGCAGAGCAGGATTTCCATGCTGAGCCGGAGATGTACCTGGGATGCACCAGATGTTTCCGGCATTTCACCTTCCCGAACACGTGGATGGCCGTGGAGCCCTATGCAGCACAGGACTCCGAGGCCTCCATCTCCCTCTCCTCGGACACCGACGAGAGCGTGGACACTCAGTCGGACAAGGAGGCGATCGTCCTCCCGGAAATTGAGTGAGGGGTGGATAGAGCAGGTGCCGAGGGCCCTGACACTCTTCCCCCCGTGCCTCAAGGCAAGACGGCAGGGGGAGAGGGCGCAGGTGCCGAGGGCCCTGAGACGCCCTCCCAGGCACCCCCCAGGGTCCGCAGCAGGACAGTTGCACGCACAGGTGCCGAGGGCCCTGAGATGCGACAGCGGGACCCCACGGCATACGGGGAAGGAGGACCTCCCCAACGACCAGCTCGTCCGTTGGTATTGGCAGCTGATGCGATCCGTCCGTTGGGAATGGCATCAATCCTACTCCCATCAGCTGCTGAGGGGAGCTGCCCAGTGGAGCTGGGCAATCCTCCCATTTTGGCACTAACCCTTATGCGGCAAAAAGGAGGCACCGTTTTGCGAATAAGGCCTCAGTAGCACCAGAGTGGTGCTTTGAAGAGTCTGGGCTAAAGCGTTAACCGCAGGTGGTCGCTTGTCTTGACTCTTCATAAGTGTCCACTTGGGCCACCATTTTGGCTCAAGTGGACTCTGACCTTCTGTCTTGTAATCTGAAATCCCGCCCACCCACACCATGGCGGTGCCGCCGGATGAGTTGGTGGCACCACCACAGGAGATTCCCGGAGTGTATGCGGACGCAGTGGCCAAGCTCCACAAGACCGCCAGGAACCTCATGGTCCTCAAGGGCATCCCGTGGTTCATCCAAGCGACGCTGTCGGATGAGGGCTTTGTCTCGATGGAGGACCTCGCGACCCGGTGGGACTCGCCCGACCGGGCAAGGGAGACGGCGCCGGGGGAGTTGGGCTTCGCCCCCAACAACCACCACTACACGGATGTGACCTCCCGGCTGATCGCGGCCCGTATGTTCCAGGTGGTTCACGCGGCTCAACGATCCATGGGAGTGGGGGCACATGCAACAGCGGGACCCGGGCCGCACACGCCCGGGGACACTGCCCCGAATCTCACGGTCTCGTGCGAACGGGGACAGCTGGAGAGGGTTTGGGAGGAGAAGACCAAACTCACCAAACCCAAGCTGGCCCTGCAAGGAAGCGACCAGCTGATGAAGCGCCAGTTCAAGCTCTGCGCAGGAGGCGAGATCGGCTTCATCCCCATGAAATACCTGGTAAGCGCACTCCCGGAACCAGGAGAACGGCCATGGAAGACCGCCAAGAAGACCACGGTTGATGGCTGGGACCGGGAGGACGAGGTGGAAGAGCGGGGCGAGCCGAAAACTCGCCACCAACTCGAGAGGATGCACGCGGTGTTCCGCAACACCCTCCTCATGTGCGTCCTCTCGTTTCCGCAGTTCGGCCAGTTCGACATCACCCGGGAGGACCTGGAGAGCTGGTACGAGTGGTTCTATGGGGAGGACATCGGGGGCCGTTTTCCCCCGCCAGAGGACCACGTCCTGGCAATTGCCGAACGCAACGCATGGCGGAAGA